CAAAGCGATCGAAGAACTCTCGGAATATCCGATTCATCAAGTCCATAAACATTGTTGGTGCATTGGTGAGCCCAAAAGGCATCACCAGAAACTCATAGTGGCCATGCTGCGTACGAAATGCCGTCTTCGGGATATCTTCCTCCCTGACTCTCAACTGATGGTAACCCGATCTCAAGTCTATCTTAGAGAAACAACAGGACCCTTTCAACTGGTCAAACAGATCATCTATACGGGGCATAGGGTACTTATTCTTAACCGTAGCCCGATTCAATTTCCGGTAATCAATATAAAGTCTCAAAGCCCCATCTTTCTTTTTAGCAAAGAGGGTCAGTGCTCCCTACGGCGATGTACTAGGGCGAATGAAGCCCTTATCTAGCAATTCCTGGAGCTGAATCTTCAACTCACTCAACTCGGCTGGGGCAAAACGATACGGTGCCATAGAAATCGGCGCCGTACCGGGCACTAAATCAATAGAGAACTCAATCTCTCGACGGGGTGGCAAGATCCTCAGGAAAGACGTCCGAGTACTCACAAACCACTCTGGGTAACTCAATCTGGATCTCATCACACTCACTACTCATAAAGCTAGCGAGAAGACCACTAAGTTCACTCCGCCCTCGCGGATCATGCACTGGTGGTAAAACACTACCAACCCGATCCCCTAAGAAATGAAATCAATCCTCGCTCAAGGTACATACAGTAACCCTCTGGCGATAGCAATCAATAATAGCTCGGTATGACGATAACCAGTCCAAACCCAAAATCACATCAAAGCCCGACATAGCCATAACTACAAAAGAAAATGAAAGCCGGTGGTCGGCGACCCCAATATCACAGCCCCGACACCCTTGTTTCAAAATCATTTCACCCCCAACAGGTGATACAACACAACTAGGAGAAGCTAACTGCGCCAACTCCAACCCCAAGACAGATGCAAATGCAGCAAATATAAAGGAATGTGATGCACCCGTATCAATCAACACATTAGCAACCAAGTTGCAAAACAAAAAGGTACCTCCCACAACAGATGGAGTCGGTACAAGATCCTGCGCGGTAATAGCATACACACGCCTAGATGGCCTCTGATCTACCTTCTCACCTCTCGGAGCAAAAGACTGTTGTACAGACTGATACGATGAGGCTCCCTAATTGGCCTTTGAGGCCTGAACAGACTGAGCTGGCTGGTAACTCTGCCTCAACCCAGATGCACAAGATGTGCCACTCAATTGCGGGCAAAACCACTTCAGGTGCCCCGCCTGACCACACTGGTAACATGAGAGCGACTGGCCTCTGCCCTAACTCTGGCTCTGAAGACGAGCCGAAGAAGAAGCTGCCCTCTGCCCTCCTCCCTTCTGCGGGCAAGCCGGAGACTTATGGCCCAGCTGACCACATTTGTAACAAGTAAAGTCCCCCTAACTGCCTCTCCCAGAGCCTGAACTCGGCACTGGAAATGTAGATCTCACTAAAGCACCCTAGGACTGCCGAGAGTTAGAACCCCTCTGTCTTCTACCGTCCCCCTGGCCATCCTGACTCCTCTTTGAGCCCCTCATACTCTCCTCCTCCTCATGCATAATAATATCCATATGGGCCGCAACATCCACAAGGCGTTCATACTCTTGAGTCATGGACCCCGCAACTCTCATCTTGAGCCCGGTCCTTAACTTCTTCTCAAATTCAAGACAACAGCGTTCTTCAAACGCCACTAACTCAGGAGAAAACCTAGATAAGCTAGTAAATGCGGCCTCAAACTCGGCCACTGGTGTACTCAGCTGCTTGAGCTGACAGAACTGATCCCTCAACTTCTCCCTTACAGTGGGAGACAGAAACTTTTCCTGAAAGGCACCAACGAAAGCCTCCCAAGTCCCTTCAATATGACCTCGCACAAACTTCCACCACTGACCCGCGTCTTCCTTCAGCTGGAAAGACACCAAGGTCACCTTCAAAGCCTCGTCTTCGATGCCAAGTATCTCAAACGTCTTCGTCATCTGCTCAAGCCACTCATCAGCCTTCAGTGGCTCTTTAGGATCACCCACAAACTCGTCCGGATTAGACCGAAAGAACTCCCTCTTCAAAAAAGAAGGCCCTGCCTCAGTGACATAGGCCTGGACTTGATTCTCAGCCCTGAGAATGTCCATAGATTCCCTCAATGCTCATGTCATCTCCCGGGCTAAGGCTCCTATGGCCTGTTGACCTACTGGCTCGGCCACATTGACCTAACCACTACCCTCCTGCTGCGCCGGAATCTCATCCGGTATAAGCATCTCCTGCCTCCTAGGCCTACCACGCTTACCTCCACGTCCTCGTTCTGACATCCTAATAAAGGTAACGAAGAACATTAGCACATTCACAAATGTGTCGAAGCTATTTCACTCGCGTCCTAAAGCATTGGACAACAGTAATTCATTCCACGTAAGCACATAATCACATAAGCACTTACGAATTTCATTTCCAGATAATGACAGTCCCGAGGTGTTGCTAGAGTTGCGGTTAGAAACAACATTGATCAAGTGTTTTTCCAACAGGACTCCCAGGAACCCAAGGATCCAATCAACATCCTAGAAACTAAATCCCATACCCATATAGTCACATAAACATGTTATCACATAAATACATAACATTACACCTGAATCTCTAACAAGCGAGACAAACCCATTGTGGTACTAACCACTTCCTATGTACCCAAAATATTCAAACTCGGTACGCACTGATACCAAGTTCTAACGCCCTCAAAATAAACCCATAACTCATACATTCATGATACAAGAAAATGACAATACATTCCATACATCAGAGTGTTTAGTACAAAAGTATTACATGTTGACAACAAAAGTTAAATTGCGCCTAGACGGGCTTACAGTATCTTTGCCAAGTCAACACTTGGGTTTCAACAAAAGAAGCAGTTCTAACTCTTTATACAAATAAGCCATTGGCTTGATTACATGTAATACAAAAAGATAACACAAAAAGATTCTTCCAGCCTCTAGCCTTTCCAAGCTATGCTCCTTGGAGGTGGCATATCACCAAGACTGAAATGATGTCCCATTAGGGTGAGCCAAAGCCAGCAGAGATATACTAAAACCAAATATGGAGAATAACTAAAACATTAGCATTTGATAAATGGCTAACACTTTATAAACCAAACTTACAAAACATCCAGTTCCATGACAAATATGTACATGTTTCATTCCACTTTCCTTTACTTAATCAATTCAATTCATAAACATGGCTCAGAACCTGGCCAAACAATAAACTGAGACCACATCTCATATTAAAAACACTTCCAATTATCCACAATTCGAATGAGACTACAACTCATATTAAAAACACTTCAATTATCTACGTTATGCAAACGCAATTAGAATTTCAGGACTTTCACCCTAGACACTCCGGCCAACTTAATTATCAATGGAGTCCATCCCCTATCTCCTTCCAAACGAGTTTGAGAGTTCATCCCCTATCTCCTCTCAAACCATGGAGTACATCCCCTATCTCCTCCCAAACAACATATATATATAATGTATTTAACAAATATCATATACAATGATCAACTAATACACATATTCGATGTATTATTCAAACCGCCATATTCAATGACATATTCCACATGATTAGTTTCAGTTTTTCCTAATCAACATACAGTGTCTACAACAATCAAGATTATCCTCCACCGATAACCCAAAGCAGTTATCTCTAAACGGATAATAAATTTATCAGACAGATAAAATCTCAACATTTTCATGGGTGAGTGATTAATTGATCCAACTGCACCAATCAATCTCATAATTTTCCAATTTCATGGTTTCCAACTCCATTTCATATTTCCCCAAACTAATTATACAAATTAATTTATCACATTAATAGGGCATTTCCCCCCTTTTTTCACATATCAACCCTAAGGCTCAATTTCATCAATTTAACAACAATAATTCCATTTTCCACGGTCTCACATACACATGGAGTTTAACATTTGAAAACCCCCATTTTATAAATTACAAATCAAACCCTAACTTTCCCAAAATTACCAAACAACACCACCTATCCAAAATACTCAATATTTATGTTAAAACCCATAGAGAGGAGTAGGTTATCCCTACATCAAATGAAGAGACCAAAAGGAGAAGATGATGAAAACTCGAGATGCTCCAAATCCAAAGATTTTCGGATCAAAGCGAAGCCCACACCGAGCTCTAACTTTTATACAAAGGAAAATAGTGTAGGAGAACCCTAGATCAAGAGTTCTTGTAGAGAGAAGTGGTGGTTTAGAGAGACAGACAGCCGTTCTAGGGTTTGAGAGAAAAAAGAGGTGAAAAAGTGATGTTTAACCCACTGCTGCCAACTGATATATTCGAGGCTCGCTCGAGCGAAGGAGTGGTTGCTCGAGCGACCAAACACAAAGAAACCTCGCTCGAGCGCACAAAGCCTCACTCGAGCCAACAATTCGAAGCTTCAGGCCTGCAACCTAGAAGCACGCTCAAGCGAAGAAACCTAAAACATATAGCTCACTCGCTCGAGCGAAGGAAATCTCGCTTGAGTCAAAAAATGCAACCTTCGGGTCCAAACCTAGACGCAGACGCAAGCTCGAGTGCAAGACTTCTCGCTTGAGCCACCAGACACAATGCTCAACTCTCGCTCGAGCAAAGGAACCCTGGCTCAAGCGAAGGAACCAAAACACAGAGCTCGCTCGAGTGACAAAAGCCTCACTCGAGCGAAGAAGCAAAAATCTAGGCAACAACTATTGGTTTAAAACTCACTACCAACTTGTAACACACCTGCCCAATACATCCCAAAATTCGAATACTAGGAATTAAAGGACGGAAACAAGATATACACAAAACCAACACCACGTTATGTTTTATTTTCTCTCCATCATCATTTGTCTCTCACACCCTTCTCTGTCTCTTCCTTGAACATTTTCCTCCAAACTTTCTCAGTCAATCTTCTTTCTCTCCATCCTACATCTTTTTTTTTTGGGGGGGAGGGGGGGTATATATAATGTGAAGTTGGTGTCAAACTGTGTCAAGTTGTACATTTTCTTATTACTTGTTATTTGATCACTTGTACAAATTTTTTTAAATGACTTTTTCCAGATCGTTCTTTCTGATTTTGGGACTGGGGTGCAACATCTGAAGCTTACAACCATTATGTTTCAGAACATCTTTCCAGCCATTAATGTTAACACTGTGAGTGCTGGAACAATATGAATTAGATGTTTGTATCAGCTTGAAGTAGTATTGCTTCTCCTCTTATGTTGCTTGTGTTGCAGGTCAAACTTTCTTTGTGCCAGAGAATTGTGTTACTAAATTATAACAAGGAGACAAAGCTGATTGACTTTCGGCATTATTCCATTAGATTACAGCCTGTTCCTGATTTAAGAAAGTTTGTGCAGAACCATCAAGTTCCTGATTTAAGAAGTCTTCAAGACGTGAGCGATTTTGTCACCAAGTGTGTGTCACTCTCTTTCTCTCTCCCCCTTGATTTTGTTGGCGGGAAGTCAAAAGTTGAAGTGAGCTGTGACTTAAGTGACTGACAATTTGCTAATCAGCCTGCTATAGATCTGATACCATGGGTTTAAGTATATACTTTTGTCTTTCATGTCTGTTTTCTATCATGGTTTTCATAGCATATGATCAGCAGTAAAGGTCAAGTTATAGTAGTTTTGTTGGTTATCTGATTCAATAGGCTAATCCACTCAACAAAGCTTTGTCCCAATTACTTGGGACTCAGCCATGCGAATCCTGTTTTTTCCATTCAGCTTGATCAAGGGCCACAGTTTCAGTTAAATCACTAGCTATTAGCTAATGTGTTATCCAATTCAATATAATGTATAAAGTGATAACGGTAGAATATATATCATCTGTATCCATATTAAATATCAAACAGTTCAAGGAAACTTTCTATGTGACTCGTAATTGTTTCTTAGTCTTTTGTGTGTTGTGATCATTAGAGGTATGATTACAAGGAAATCAGAAGTTAGGATGGTCTAGCTACAAATTGATCAACCAATTTTTAAATTTTATGTCAGTTTGGATGTTGATCATTCTTGCTCTCCTCTTTTCCCCTGAAGGGCTGGTTATGGATCAGAAAGCGAAGCAGATGAGGCAGCAACTGTAAGTCTAGCAAGTGATCTTGGTAGGGTTAACCGAGCTTCTACAAAAAGTGCTGTCAAGCTTCAAGAGATTGGTCCTGGGTTGACTCTTCACCTCATCAAAATTGAGGAAGGATTGTGTTCTGGTGGAGTCATATTCAGTGAATATGGTATGTTCATCTTATATAACATTTTACCTTGTGTTTTTTCTACCGTGGAAAAAAATTTAGTATGCAAATCTATGAGATCATTCTCAAATTACAGTCCCACTCATGTCCATAGTAACGATCTTATTGGTGCGGACCAAGTAAAATTTTGTCCTTATTATATTCAGCTCAATATAAACCCGTTCTTGAACCAATTTCTTGGACTTAGTAGAGACTTCTGAAAAGTTTTGGTTGTATAGTTGATTTAGATTTTGTATATGGGTTGCAACCCCTTGGTGCCTTGTGTTATTATACTTATCCAAAAATAAAAAATAAAAATCAGATGAATCATCTGATTCCATATGTGCAACTCATCTCAATTCTTAAACTTTTTAGTTCTTACCAGAGGTAATAGCTGGTAGTATTCTCTCTGCAAACCTGTTGTTTAAATGTTCATATGTGCAACTCATCTTAATTCTTAAACCTGTTGTGTTTCCCTCTAGCCATTTCCCCAACCTCACTGCTAACTTTTTCATTTACCTACGACCTGCTCTTGTTGGCTGATAAATTTCCTATAAAATTTCATTGTGATTTGATGATTTTAGGCAGATTGCATACTTAATTCAATTGGCATGTAAACCCACCCTCTCAAAGAGTAAATATCGAGTGCAATGGTGACAGCTTCCTACTAGTGTCACTGGCCAATAAAATACCGCAAACGGAATTAGGTGAATATTCCTTCTTGCCCAATAGCACAACCATCAACCATGTAATCTCCACTACCGCTATAATAAATTTCTCCTTGATTTGTGATAATGTCACATGATATCACTATTCTACTCAATGTTTATGGTACTTTTTACACACAGGAGCACAGTACGGGAAACTCCGGTGCAAACTAGATCTAGATCTGAAGTTTTCAGACTCTGCTGTGTTTAAGTTCCCCTCTTAGGCCTTTATTGCCCCCAATTCTTATATTTCTCTGTTCCTTCCAGAAAATCATGGTGGAAAGAAAACGCACCAAGAGGAAGAGGATGAGGAAGAAGTTGAGGAAGAAATGGTGGAAGATTAGCTCCCAGCTCTTTGTTTGTGGACACTTTGTTTAATGGTTGTTGAGTCGAGCAGTTAGGTGGCTCATTTTTATTTTATCTTATTTTTGTTTTTTGGAAACAGTTCTACAGGGTGCCAATCTTGATGAGCTTCCAATTTTGTCATTGAAGATCTAAATATAGCTTGATAATACCTTTTTTGTTTTCTTGTGCTCACGGAAAATGAGTTGTAGATTCAATTCGAAGAGAAGTGAAAGTTTTAAGTTCGATTATGAATATCTTAAATTCTATATTTTTTATTGAATTATTCACAGTATGTCGAAATTTAAGTTCAAATTTCAATGGGTATTATTGTTCTGACATTGATGAGCAAGTCTTATTCATATGTAACAGGGACTGGACTGACATCACAAATGAAGCTTCAAATACTTGAAACCCTAAGAACTCTGTTGCTTTTTGGGTTTTTTTTTTTTCTTGAGAACAAATTTTGGTGGTAATTGTTATTGTTGTTTTGTATAGTGAATCTTTGTCACTAGAGACCACCCTCAGAAAAAATTCATTTTGACCTTTCAAATGGTCATATTTATTTCACTTCATCCCGAACAATTATTTTTCTTACACTATTGACATTAGTCACTTCAAGCGAAGTTATTTATTTGCATTTCCTTATTTTGGTTGTATTTAGAGAAAGTAGTTTTTTGTAAATTGTAATCAATTATATTTTGTGTTTTATTAAATATATTCAAAACAATTAATTGTGTTTATTGCATGACATCTAACTATTTGTCTCCTTATTTATCTCTTTAATGTGGAGGCAAAGTGAATCAATACTTTTGATGCTGATAGATGTGATATTCTATTAAATTACGGACTTCGCTAGTAGTTTAGGGTAAAATTAATTAATTTTAATAGTTAAAAGGAAAAAATTATTGGTTGGTCTTGAGTGTCATGTATCTCATACTAATCATAATTTATCATGTTCTCTAATCACTTGACACAAATTTGTAGATCACACTTCCTTCATTAATCACAATACTATTAGAACAGCACGTGACGGTACTCCAAACCAACCAATAGACACTGCTGACCCAGAAGCAATCATCATTTTAACAATCACTACAAGCAAGAAGAGACAAAGATGCCAGATCTAGACAACGCTGACCCAGAAGCAAGGTTTTAAAAAGCGGCCGCAACCGTTACGTAAAGGTTTTGGCGGTTACCACCACCCGTTACAGCCGTTTTTGCAGTGTGATTGAGATTCATAGATGTGTCGGTAGTAGCGGTTGCTGTAGCGGTCGTAACGGTGCCGTAACAGCCGTAAACGGCCTATTACGCACCGTTGCGTAACGGTTCCAAACTGTTTCTTTCGAAAAAAACATACAAAAAAAAAGCTGAAAATGGGAGAAGAGGGATAGAGAGAAGAGGGAAGATAAAGAGAGAAAATGGAGGAGCAAGAGATAAAGAGAGAAGAGGAAAGATGAAGAACATGTTATTGATTTGTTGAAACTGTAAGACCTATGCTATTCTATTCAGCTGCTATCACTAAACCATTTTGTTTGTGTATGTCTACCTATATATTGTTTGAAAATAATAATAATAATATATGTGGTCATTATCTATTTGACTTGATTAAAATATGTATATATATATATATATATATTTAGGCTTTTATTTATTCTCTTACTTTTGTCATTATTTATCTTACATATAATAATTAGCGATTAATTTTTTGAATAATATAAAGTCATTGATTATTAAAATAAAATGTAAAAAACTCAGTTTATAGTGATTTAAAAATATGAAATATATTGGATCATACTTAAAAATTTACAAAAATTGATCAATATTTATTTTTAACCCAATAAATATGATTATGAAAAAAAAATATGTGTATCGATAAGTTTTTTTTCAAATTATGCGAAAAATAAAAAAAAAAATTCACGGTTCTGGTTACCGCAACCGTTACACTACGGCCTTTACATCCCGCAACCGCAACCGCGTCACTGCAACCGTTACAATGACTACAACCGCTTTCCAGAACCTTGGATATACATAAATGCATTTCCTTTTCTTCTTTTTTGTTTTTGGTTTTGGATTTTGCTTTCTTGGGGAGTGAGGAGCTTAAGAAAACAACAAAATGCAAAACAAAGAGTCACAACATTATCATTGTTTCCGAAATTCACAACTGTGCTCAATTGTTTCATTAGCTCCAACTAAACATGAGACTAATAGACACCATTGAGTTAAATAATCTCCAAAGCCCTCAAGACAAACCTTGTTAATGCTTTCTGAACATGCATAGAAAATAAAATCAGAGTGTTCAATTGTGTATTCTATTTAAAATTCCCAATAAACTAAAAGCAATAAATCAACAACAATTGTATGCAATTGTACGGGGAGGAAATAATTCTCCTCGTATAATCCTGTTGACCAAGTCCACGCTCCTCCGTACGACGTCGCTTTATCACCTGAAAACACAAACGTGAGATAGCCGGCGGGTGTGTGCCGGAAACCTCTCCGATGCCTAAGTCAGACAAATAGGAAAAGTTTTATGTTCTCAGAAAGAATGTGTTCCAATTACCTCCTCCAAGGTTGGTGCGGTGAGCTTTTATAGGGTTTCTCGAGGCATAATTCCTAGTTAGGACTTTTATTTTCTCCATGCGAGTCTCCAGGATTCATACTCCTAAGGATAATGCTTATCCTTTTACACCCTCCCCCACTGCTTTAAACCAAGTGGGAGGTTCACTTTGGCGGACTACTATATGACTGAAATAAGCTTGGCTACGCAGAGCCACGGAGAAGGCCGAACTGTCCTTAGCTCGGTCTCTTCTCTCCAGACTACCTTTATCTCCGCGCTTTCCCCTGTTCAACCATGGTGTGTTAGCATCAACTTCCAAGTTAGCAAGTTCTGACCGACCTAACCATAATACGTTTCACGACCGGACTTAAATGCAAAGGCCGACTCACTTTAAACTGCCACCGGCGGAGTGCTTTACACATTCTGAACCGGAGTAACTCACACCTCTCCCTTGGCCGCGGAATTAACTTCACTTCTCCATGGGTCGGAGTATCTATTTTACCTCTACTGGGCCGAAATAACATTACGACTTTCTTACCGATTCCTCACATTTGGGCCCAGGCGCCCAACTCACAACTCGGCCCAATTCTTTCACCAAAAATTACCCTTTCTCAATTGCCCCTTAAATTCATCTGCATAGCATGATGAGATACAAATCCTTCAAACCGAGCTGAAGTTTTTCTAAACAACCTTTCCAGCGAGATTAAAAACCCTTCAGTGTATCCAGCCGAGCTAGTTTTACTCCGAACTCTGCTTTATCCGGTCAAAACGTCTCTTCAATCACGACTGTAACGCTTCCCTTTCCCTTGCCACGTGGCGGGCTCTGATAGGCCGTGAGCTGTTATCACGCCGCCTTCGTACTTCGAACTTTTTGAACAGTCCCGCCCCTTTTTGCCGCTTTTTTCTCTCTCCTCTTTCACAAAATAACCTTTCTTCCTCTTGAATCATTCACCTTTCATTCTTCATCTTCTCTCTCTGTGTTCTTGCTGTTCGTGTTCTTCCTTCACTTTTGAGAACTGATTTTGCTGCCACTTTCCCATCATCGGATCCCTCTTCTTCCACCTGGTAAGTAGACTCACTTTGCTTCCTTTATTTTGCTTTCGAATCTGTATAGTTTTGTTTTGCATTTTTTTGCAAACATTTTCTTTCATTTTCGACGCTTCGCTTCTGTACTTTTATGAAAAAATAATAGCAGAGCTCATACGTGTATGAACCCCTGTAAAAAACTTGCTTTAGATCCAAAATTAGGTAGCAATCGAACTAGAATCCTGTTTGCATTAAATAGGTAGATCACTGTAGTCAATAACCGAACTAGAACTTGAAAGTTTCAAAGAGTTACCAGAGCCTGACTCACTTTAGCCGAAATAAGATCACCGAGTTTTGAATATATCAAACTAGGAACCTCAGTTTTCAACCGAACTAAGCTTTTGGGGCCAAGCAGGCTTTCTTAGTTCCTAAACCGAACTCAGAAAGCCGCCCGTAGAGGCTTAACCGAAGTAACTTTATTCACACTGCAACCGATTTAGGCCTTGGGACTAAACCAGCTTTCTTAGTTTTTTAGACCGAACTCAGAAAGCTGCCCCTAGGCGTTAAACCGGTCTACCGAGCAAACTGCTCAAACCGAGCTACCAAACCTTTTGATGAACCGAGATAGAACCAGTTTTTTGAGGCCGAAGTAGGGCTCTTATACCTTGCTTTTAAATTGTAGCACGGTCCAACGATCAGTGCTTTAACCCCCTCTGTTTTCTACTTTGCAGACTTATGTTACCCAGGCACTCCTGCGTGCACTCAACCGAGCTGCTGAGCACGATTTTTGCACCGATATAAATTATAAGTAAATTATACATCAGATGAGTAAGTATAGGTATCTAGTTGAGACCCCTGGTGGTATGACCGAATTTAGGAAGGATTACCATATTCTTGAAGACGTCCATCTGATGTTAGCCGAAAAAGATGTTATTCCCTGGGAAAAAGAAGGCTACGTCCCTTTTACCCTTCAATCCATAATAGAAACCGGACTACGGTTTCCTGTCCAACCGCTGATCTGTGAATTTCTTAGGCAGACTAGATTATGCCCCACCCAACTGTCCACCAATACATATCGCATTATAATGGGAATAGCCGCACTGAACCACCAAACCGGACTAAACCTTGGCCTCGCCGAAATTTTCCATCAATACTCCATCGGCTCAAAAGATGATGAGTGGGTCTATTTTTATAGGTTTCGAGTGGCATAATCCTAGTAGGACTTTTATTTCTCCATGCAGAGTCCTCCTAGGATTCATACTCCTAAAGGATAATGC